AACTACCTTTTTGATTCTTAGTTGATTGAATCCATGAATGCAGAATCCAAGGATTTAGAGAGCTGACTGCACACACACACACACACACACACACATATACACACATGCTCTATTAGCTCTGTTTCTCTGGATAGGCCTGGCTAATACAGGTACTCAATTCTGGGTGACTTCAGGAAGTTTTCATGCCATCTCTGTGTTCTAAATGCTTGTGATTCCCTGCTGGGCCCATCTGTCCCTTCCAGCCCTCTATCCCCAAGCCAGGCACAGTTTCAGTATTATTTATGGTCTGATACAGGTGGCACATGGCCAGGAGAGGGATCCAAAAGATAGTAACAGACTGCCATGTCAATTAGAAAGCAAGAAAATGTCAATATCATGTCAAGTTGAACACAAAGTCCTGCTGATGGGATTTTTAAAACATCAACCTAAATACAGCCAGGGATTTAGCTAAGTGGTGCCACTGCCTGCCCCACAAGCTCAAGGTCCTGAGTTCGATCCCTGGTACCACAAAACAAACAAACAAACATCAACATAAGTACAGAAGAATCTGACAACAGTTTCTAAGATAAGTATCTGAGGATCTTAGTATGTTTATTTATTCAACAAATATTGAAATTGATCTAGGTCTTTGGAGAAGAGCAGATCCTAAGATTTTATTGTCTGAGGAGCTGGGGGTGATTCATAGAGACAATTTGTGATGAAGCTACTGAAAAAAGTCAGCATGGCTGTATGTAGTCTTTGGTCACTGCCTTAAGACATGCGCAGATGGTCATATAGAAATAAAGCAGCGTGAACTAGTTTTGTTCTTAAAACTAGAACTGGGGTTGATCTTCATCAGGGAAGATGTGTTCCAAGAAGTGGAATCCATCCAGGCTTTTGCATTTGTGCAAGCTTCTAGTAACAGAATCCATAGCTTTTGAAAGAACTTCACCAGCTTCTGTAACACCTCAAAACTTCCAAATGTTCCTGGAGAGAACATTCATAAGACCATCTCTCAAGAGATTCCTAAATGCATTTTAGCAAAGTGAGAGTGGAGAGATTAAATATATGGGTTACAAATTTTACTTGCATTAATTGCTCAGATGCACAGAGAAAATGTAGCTTTTTGATTTTTCATATAATTTGGTTACTTTATGAGTAAATAAATAAATGCTCGACCCAGCTTAAACTCAACTCAACCTGATCATCGGTGCCATCTGTCCAAATAGTGTTCAGCTTTTCTGGGATAAAGCGGCTGCTTCCTCAGAGAACCTCCCCGTCCCTGCTTTTCTCTTGAAGATGATTCTAAGCTTACAGGACAAGGAAGTTCCCACTCCCGAAAAGTTTTCCTGACCTCCTGCTGGTTCTGGGAGGTATAAACTCCATCCTTGATCTCCCATCCCCGACTGCTCCTTGTTCTGCCTGCTTTCTGGAGCATTCTGAGCTGGAGTTATTTCTGAAATGTTCTCCCAAGACAGTCACCACCTAGAAGAATTATCGTCATCTTGTATATCACTGGCTACAGACCGCCAAGTGACCACCAGGTCATCCCCAGCTCACCTGACCATTGGTCCCACCCCAGGCTCTGCTGCAGCAACCCCACCGAATCCCAGCAGTCTAGGAAAAACACCTAGGTTTCAACACAACATCCTGCCCAATGGAGTGTAGGAGCAGCAGTCCACTCCCCCTTACCAAGTAACTAAGGTGATTCATACCTATTATTTCTACCCCAAATTCTAGATTTGAAAGGATCCTTACTGCTAGAGTAAAGTAATACAGATATGAAATAAATGTAGCTCAGTGTGAAGGCCTTGGCTTCCATCCATAGCACCACAAGATAAAGGAAGGAAGAAGGAGAGAGAGAGAGAGAAAGAAAAGGTATTCTTATTATTCTTATTAAAAATTAAATTTCTGGCAGCCGCCCGGCACTGCCACCTCTCCAGTCCCGCGGCGGAGCCGCCCACGCCCGCTCAATCCCGCGCGAGGGTGCCGTCACGTGCTCGGCGATAAGCTGCTCGCGCACCGTGGGCCCGACCCCGTCCACCGCCCGCGCACTCCCGCGAGCCGGGCCGGGGGCGCTCGGGCGCCGGGGAGTTCCGGGGAGCCGGCTACGCCTGCGCAGTGCGGCCAGTG